ACGCACTTTGCTCCTGATCCCCCTCCCCAGCCCCATTGCAACCACCGGCCGCCACTAGAAGAAACAAAGTGAATGCTTTCAAGCATCAGGCATAAAGCCCCCTAAGCCCCATATGGGTGCGTTTGCAACGCATTCGTCGGGGAGCAAAACAAAGTATGTATGAAGCCCACATAGGCTGAGACCTGCACTATGGGTGCGTTCAGCAGGATATTCTATCAGTATGAACCCCAAATAGGCTGAGACCTGCACAATGGGTGCGTTTAAAGGCGGTCCCTAAACGCACTCGCTTGGGGTTTGAGGGTTAAGGGGCATGATATTCTATCAACCAGATTCTCCCTTTCGCGGCGCCTTCCGCCGCGCTTTCGCGGGCTTTTCGCGGATACTAAAAAACAAGCATAAAATATTCGCCATTAAAAAAAAGACAGGGGTTTGCGGATAACCCCCATGTAGGGTTTAGGCAGGGTTTAGGCCTGGACTGGGCTCCAGATGCCGGCCTAGGAGTCCTGAGCCAGACAGTTTCGCCGCGGAAGCCGGAATTGAAAGATGCTGCGTGGCTTTTCTTCTTTGAAGTCTTTTCTGTGGGTCGTACAGGGGATTGCCAGGGGTACAGTAGGCGGGCACCTTGACCTCTGAAGGAGATATCGGAAGTTTGGCGCCCTCTCGTCCCCTGAACGCGTGCCCGCGCACCTGGGACGTGGAGCTTAGCTTTCGTGGTTGCTCTCACGTATCCGTGCTCAACCCTGAAACTATTCATTCGGGCCAACGTGGATCTTGGGTTGTGGTTTTGGGGAGCGTGCCGCACACTCGAGCGTGCAGTCGCTCGAAGCGGCAGCATGCAAAGCTGTTGAAGGCTGCAGGCTGACTAATGAAGCAGCTCGTCCAAAGAAGTGCCAATTGCATTTGTCACCCGATCATCACTCAGACTCAATACATCACTCAATACTCCACGGGTGTGTGAAGAATCCTGCCTGGTTCGTCTCTTGCACATCCGTCGCCGTTGCCTTTGGATGCCAGCCCTGTGGAACGAACTCCGGGGCATTCAAGTTGAACTGTGTGCGGCTGCTCGTGTCAGCAGTGGAGGGAGGGCGTGAGTGGAAGACTCCTCCATCAAGCTGGAAAGTTCAACTGCGAGGGACACTCTTTCAGAACCTCGCTGTACCGAAGAGCGCCTTGCAATGAAACATGAGGAAACTAGCGGTTATTCCGCACCCCTTTCCCACGATCCTGACCGCTCAGACTCAGCCTCTCCTGGCGGCCGGGAGGGAGCCGTTCTGGGAGGCTGTTCGCCAGGCATCTCCAACTCGCCCTCAAGCTGGCCTAGCGTCCTCAGTGACAGCGAGCACCAGCCATGGGGCACACCCATGCCATGGCAAAATCGGGACCAGTGTGCTTGACTAGAGGTTCGAAGCGCCTCGTACATGGGGGCCCGGGTTTAAACGATGTTATACAAAGTTCGGCGCCATGCAATTCCGGCGGGCCACGCGTGCTTCCAAGTGCCAGGTGGCCGTGCGGGAACCTTCGAGAGGGCTGGAAGCAAGGCAGCTTGGGCCTAGGGCCTATATACATGTACAATACATACGAATGTATATTTTACAGAAAAGAGGGGGAAATCAGAGAGCCAATCACTCAACTCTGCCTGAGCTGTTCAGCGGCTTTGGCAGTTGCATATGGTTGCGCCCGAACTTCGGGGCTTCGGGAACCGTAGGGCTCTAAGTGCACCTCTCAGCTTGAAGTCGGAAAGACGTCTAAACGTCTAAATTGGGATGTTCCCCCTTATAAAAAAGCAGTCCTTAATAGGGATTATAATAGGGGGGGGTACTATACTATAATCCCTATTGAGGACTGTTCGTAGAAAGGGGAGCATCCCAATGTCTAAACACCAGCAACGGTGAGTAATGGTGATTGCGCTGGTCCCTCTCGAATCCTTACAGGCAGGACAGATCAGTGGTCTCGGAAGCGCTTCCAGCTGCTATTCCAACGGGTTTAGGATATAGGGTTTAGGGTTTCGACTCTCACACTCGCACAAGGCCGGCAAGGCTTCGGTTGGAACTTCTCTCTGGTGACACAGCCCACACGATTCTGCAGACTTCAGGGTTTAGAGTTTAGGGTTTAGGATTTAGGGCCAACATCTACAACGATTTCGGGTTGATCCCCTTTAGCTTTTCCGATCCCCGAGATGCTTCAGAAAATTGAAAAGCTTAACAGCAAGACGAAACATCTTCAACATTCGGGTTGTTGGGCTGAAGGAAGCCGTGTCCATGAGCACTAGACCGTTAACCGCTGGCATGACCACCCGCCGAACCTACAAAAGCTGTCGGCAGGGAGTAATAAGAAATGTCAAAGGGCACGTCGTAACTACATGTTAACATGCTAAGGCACTGCTACTTGCAGTGAATCAGCGTGTTGGAAGGCAAAGCAGCGGAGAAGCTGCTGCAACCGCAAAAATGTTACCCCCAAGTATTGGCCCTGGAAAGGGGACCCCTTTAAAAAAACCTTTACATACCGATCCTTTAAGGGAGGTACGGGGCCGTATTAAGAGCCCATGTAACGGCCAACTACCCTTAGGGGGAAAAACATACACAACCGGGCACTATGCTTTTCGCGCATTTCTGCAGCTTCAGATCTCAAACACTTCCCCCAGGGACGAGCTCTGACGCCAGACTCAGGCATGAATGCTGTGATGATTGGGTGCTTTGGCAGGCGTGGCTGCCCTGATGCATGGCTGCAAAAAAATGAGTGTTGCCAACGACCAGGTTCAGGCACTGACTGGGTGCTCTGAGAAATGGCCGATATCAGATTCAGGCATGGATTCTGAATATGGGAACATTCCTTTCTCAAAGCGTCCAGTCATCAGAGCATCCATGCCGGAACCTGGCAATCGCCACATCAGACCGTTTGAGGGCTTGCGCAGTTAGAGAACGACTTTCTCCGGTTTGCGCCTGCGCGAACCACACGAGTCGCCAGCCGTTCTGGCTCGGTCGATGGCGTCTTCCACGTCACTCGCGCGCTTGCGGTCTGTGTGTTCAAGTTACCAAACGCGGTCCATGGTTCCAGGACACTAGCTCCGCATCCAAGGCGGGGGAGGGGGGGGTGTCCACAAAATTGGTCTGGCAGCGCGGGGGGAAGGGTGTGGGGGGGGGGGGGGGTTGCGAAAGCAGATGTGGGGCAAGGTAGAAAACGTTCAAATATGAGGAACGCGACAACTTGAAGACTGAGAAATTACAAGCGAAAAACACTTGACAAATAGGGCTGCGAGGAGAGTAGCACAAAATGGAAAATGAATCCTACCTAACCAGGTCAACATGTTCTTTCCACGTCTCATTTGTTCTTGGTGTTTCTTGGCTATTTCTGCTACTCCGGTCTGAACCCCGATCATGGCTGGATTCTACTTTGTCTGACCCTGTCATGTGATTCAGCAAATTTGGCTCGTGAGTGCCCCGGTTTCGCAAAAAACCTGGGGCGTTTTGTAAGTCTGCTGATTCGCTCATCCTGAAACCACTGAGCTGCCAGCAGCCCAAAACTGCCACAGCCGTGGCATCACGGCTCAACGAGTGCAGCCGAGGGACCCTATCTGGAACGACGTCATAGCCAGGAGGACGGGAAAAAAAAGGCTCCAGTGGCCGTGACGGCTGCTCGCTCACCTCAGACTGCGCGTTGCTGCTCGCAATGTCGCTGTCGCTGTCGAGGAACCTCGGGATGCACAATTTAGGGTTTAGGGTTTAGGGTTTAAGGTTGAGGGTTTAGGGTCGCAGACAGTGCAGACATTTCCCGCCAGATATGTCAAGCGCAGCCGGTCAGACGGCCTGATTCAACCCCGATGCTTTCCCATCCCAATGTGCCGAACTGAGGCTCAAAGAGTAGCAGGCATGCAAGTCATGGGAAATCAACAAAGCCAATCACTGCTGTCGGAACACGGGTTCCAGAACGCTTCCGCACTTGGGTCGCTTCTTTCCGATGCCTTAGAGTGGGCGGCTATCCAACAACCACTCGATTCCTTGAAGACATTGACTTAGCTGGCAAGCACAAGCAAAAAAAAAAGCTGCAGACACGACGTTCAAAAAGCGTTTAGAGTTTAGATGAGATCTTCGACCTCCCAGGGGAGTGTAGGGCCGGAATTGCCCTGGCCAAAGTGGATGCAGAAGGAGAATAAAAATGATCATCACAATAATAACAGTAACAATAACAATAACAATAACAATAATGATGATAATAGTAACAAGGGGGTTTGTCTGCAGAAGCCGAGAAGTCATGGTCCTGTCGGCCACAAGCCTCGTTGCCTGGTTTTCAGGTGCTGACTTCCTATTTCCTCGATTTTTCCACATAGCACCCGTACGTCTACGCGGAAGGCGCGAAGCGCTAACATGCGAGGGGCACAGGCTATGCAAAGTGTGTCCCGCCTTGGATGACATATCCTGGGCATCCAGATTGCCCAAAGCTGGAGACCATCTGGGTGAAGACTGCTGAAGGCCGCTTTGCTGGCCGTCAGCTGCATCAGCTCCTCTGTCTCTGTCCAGCTCGGGATGAGCTCCGGATGCGTCAGGTTCTGGCTCTTTGCTGCGTCTGCCTGCATAAAAGACGAGCAGCTGACCACTCAACACGCCTTTGTGCCGTCACATGCAGCTGCGCTCTCCTGCCTTCTCCGACGGGCATGCCGTAAAAAAAAAGCCCTGTTAGGGATGTCCGCGGATTGAAGGCGCCCGAGCCATCTGGCTGGGCAGGCGAACTTGTGGGAAAGGAGAACTGGTAGATACTGGGAGGCTCTGCTATGCTGCAGCCCTGGCAGTGAGCAACGAGGACTCATTTAGACATCTCATGTCACAGGTTACGGGAGCAGCTTTCCTTGAGCCATTGGTGTGCGTAGGATTCGCGATTCACGGTTAAAGAAAGCATGGTGACACAGGCCAGTGCACCATCAAGCACCGACATGGAAGCATCCGCATCTTCCATGTTCAGTCGAGGCTCAAGATGACTATGACAACATCCACTGCTGGGAGCGGCACAGACTTACTGATCGGCGCAGGCTTTGGTTGGAAGGTCTTCTGGAGTGTTTGGTTCGTCCGGTTGCCCGCAACAAGGGAAGGCGGGAGCTCTGCAGGTTCTGCAGGCTCCGCGGCTCCGTTAGGTGCCGCGAGGTGCGGCTTGGGCTGCTTGGCATGCTTGGCATCTTCGGTGCTGTTGCGTTTTGCATGCCGGCTCAAGCGCTGAGCAGAGCTGTTGGCCGCTATACCTGCCACCGGCTGACATGCTCATCAGACGCTCTCATGCTCCAGTCTGTCATTCTGGATGTGGGCTAGTGCTGATACGCAGTGCATAACTCCGACTCTTGATGGGGTTGCATCCGAAGGGTGCATCGGATTCTTTGGCTGCGGCATCGTGCATTAACAGGCCTCGGGCCAGCTTGTGTGACCTTGGAGAGGCGGTGTCTAACAGGAGACTCGGGGCTGACTACTGCTTGGAAGTATTCTTCTATGGTGGCTTCCGACTGTTTGGGGTCTATTTTCAGGGCCCTCTATTTTCGTGAACTCCCAAATGCCAGAGGATCAGTACACATCGAGGAGGCGTTGAACATGACAATTGGTGCGATGCAGCAGACAGCTCCTTGAGTGCACAACGTGCACATTACAAGTTCATAGACTTGCCGAAGCAGTTTTGATGTGGACTTTGCAAGAGATACGCCGTGTAAAGACACCATCTTATACACAAGTCCCTAAACCCTAAACCATAAGCCCTAAAACCTAAAACCTGAACCGTCCTAAGTTGATGTGCGACGAGGCCTGAGTTGCCAGCTAGTCGTCGTGCTTTGTTTATCCACGCCTAGTTGTCCAGTAACCTGGGAGAATTCAAGCTTAACCTTTGGGACTATAAGGGGAATATACTGCTTAAAGGTTACCTCCTCTACTACTATAGGCCCATAGGTGGAGGCTCGGCCTCTGACACTTCCGCTCGAGGTGGTTCACTGCGCAGCCTTGTCTGGAGAAAGACCACATAGGACCTCAAGAACTTGGGGTTTCGGGTTTCTGCGGCACCATCTCCGAAGAGCGAATATCGGGCCGGTTTCGGGTTTAGGGTTTAGGGTGACTGTAGTCTCTTTGCAGCACACACCATCTGCACCAGCTCCATCGGCACATGTTAAGCTGTTCCACCTGTTTGTTTGACAATGATGGAACCTATAGCTGTGGCCTGCCTGAAAGCCTGCTCCGCTAGTTGAGCCTGCCAGCAGTGTGCGCTCAAGATGATTCTTGTCAATCTCCGTTCAGGCGACCCCCACCGAAGAGAGCTCTACACCTGACTGTTTACTATACTCTGAAGTGCTTGCGGCCCCCCCCCCCCCCCTAAACCCTAAAACCCCCCTCCCCCCCCCCTCCCCCCCCGCAGTACTTGCAGGGGCCGGGGCGAGAGGCTTTCAAGGTCAGACGCATCCTCGAAGACTCCGGCTGCCCTCCTTGCCTGCCATTCAGGGTTTAGGGTTTAGGGTTTAGGGTTTAGGGTTTAGGGTTTAGGGTTTAGGGTTTAGGGTTTAGGGTTTAGGGTTTAGGGTTTAGGGTTTAGGGTTTAGGGTTTAGGGTTTAGGGTTTAGGGTTTAGGGTTCGCTGTGCCACACATTTGCTGGAGGCGTATTGCGTTCGGCTGGCTTGCCTTTGTTAGGCGAGCTTGAAGTTGTAGGATAGCTTGTGCACATGCACGGTTTAACATATGGTGTTTAGATTACTTCCTTTGGGTCACTTTCAAGCAAGACCCTCCCCCCACCCCTCCCCCCACCCCTCCCCCTTCCCCACGCCGCCCCCCCAGCTCCCCACCGCCCGCGCCAGATTGAATCCTTCCTTCTTTAAAGGGCACAAGTATGGGCCAAAACTCACCCACCCACACCGTCCACACCACCCCAGCACCCACTTGCGCAGCAGACCCCCCCCCCCTTTCCTCACACCGCTCACCCCCGCCCTTGGCACCCACACTTACCGCTGCTGCAGGGATGCAATGCGTCCACGCTGTTTAGGGTTGAGGTTTTGGGACTCTTACGGTTTCGCGTTTAGGGTTGAAGCCCCACACCCTTAACCTATTGCCACTCACAAAGGCAAGATCCAAAGTTGAAGGTTAAGAGCTCTGGGCAAGGTTGGAGTTGGCATATATGGGATGTCAGAGGCCACTGCCTGAACCGATCGCCTTTCCCGACTCTCGCGTCTGGACTTTCGGCATGCAGGTTTGGGGGCTCGTGGGATTAGACCGCGGGCTCGCAGGACTTGTAAGACTTGGGTTCAAGTCTGGGGATCGGTAGCCATGAAATCGCGCTGCGCTCGGTCTCCGAGTGCGGACATATGATCATGGGTTAGCTAACAAGCTTTAAATGGACCAGACGCTAGTGCCTCCGACCTTGCCTCACGATGCTTCTCTGCAGGGCCGAGCGGGGGCCCGCCCGGAGGGGCATTCGAAAAACGCCCGTTTCGCCCGAGCGCCCTTGGGGGCACGGGCACCGGGGTGGCCTTTGGGGCCGCTTGGAAAGCCGACTCTCGCGCCACAGCGGGTATGGCATGCGGCCTCATGCCAGACAATGCCTGGAATGTGGTATGCGATTTGAGTTCACTCTGATGTCGATATTGCATGTGGCTGATTTGTGGGTTCGAAACAAGAAAGTGCAAAAACGCACGTCCTTCGCAACATACTGCCACCAAACACAGCAAAACGCCCGACTGCTCCTAAGAACTCCGTAATTCCCATCCCTAAGCCCTAAGCCCTAAACCCTAAGCCCTTTCGTGCAACAGGTGAGCCTCCACATGGAGCGATGAAAATGGAAGCAGCCATCTCGGTCGTGCTCGTGCCGTCGCGTGTGGGGAAAGTGGAAAAGTTCAATGCGCATGACCCTCAACCTTAAACCCTTTTGCATCCAGGTCTGACGCCGGGCATCACCAAATTTACTGAAGAGGCGAAACTCGTGTTCACCCCTCAACCTTAAACCCTAGAACCCTAAACCCTCCTGAATGCACTATTCTTGCTGCCCGGCGGCATGCACAATACCTGCCATGTCCGCGGCCTCATGATTCACCAAATGGGGGTTTACGATATTAAGGGGGTACCTTTTTTGGGATCCTTCTGATAAGGTGGTCCTACTATTTGGTTCAAAGGGCCCCCGATTTTCTTGTAAATCCCCAAATGAGCCAAAAACAAACCGACTACGACTCGCAACACAGCGAGCAGAACCATGTCCGACATCAGGGTTTCGAAAGCAGGATTCGATCTGGTCGAGCAGAGCCCCGCCAAGAAGTAAACTTTAGTGACAGCATAACCCTAAACCCCTAACCCCTAACCCCTAACCCCTAAACCCTAAACCCTAAACCCTAAACCAATGCCCTTCGGCAACTCTAACTTCTTGAGCGCCCCTGTCACGGCCGTGGTGTGAAGGGAGCCCAGACTCAAGCCTCAAAGATATTTCACCATGCCCTGGGATTCGCCAATTCGCCCATGACACTTCTTGCTTTTTCGGTTTGTATCGTGTGGCGTGGGGTCGTGGGCCCTTGGGACTGAGCTCCTATCATTACCTTACCCAAACGGACTAGGTGGGCGTCGGGCTTGCAGCTAGAAACCATGTCACTCTCAGGCATCGTAATGACCCCTTCGACACCAGAGAATGTCTCTATGATGCCTGCACGCATAGACCTGGAGCGCATGGAAGCTGAAGAGTGGGTGGAATCACAAATCAGCATAATTCTCTCCTAAACTCACTGTTGTATGATGCATGTACATGCATTGAGAAAATCCTGGTCCTACAAGACTTGTGATAGGAGGACATTTCTTGACCTCCATCCGCATAGTCGGTTTGACCACGCAGCCTCTCTTCCACTGCATGGGCCTTTTGTCGACCTCCCTGAGAGGTTGAAAACACACGTGTTGCACGGGGGGGGAGGGTGGAGGGAGCAGTGGCGCAACCACCCCGCGTGCAAACAGATGGACCGTATGGCGGGTATTGCAAGCTGTCGGGAGCGAATAGGGGTCCCTGCAATGCACGGAGCTGCTGAGAACAAATGCGTAGTATTGCTGAGAAGGAGCGGGGCGTTGGGGATTGAAAGGAGCCTGACGAGTTTCAAACATTTTCAAACGCTGGGTTCCCCTCCGCCAAGCCCAAACGATGTTGGGAGCAGCCCTCTGGCCCTCTGGGCCCTCTGTGTGCGGCGGCGGGGAAGTGTATGGGGCGATCGGAAAGGTTCGACCCGCACTTCATAAACAGGCAAGGCTTGGGTTCAGTGCAAGGCACGTCAGGCTTTCGACTCAATGGCCGGCTATGCGTCTTGTACGGGCGACAACAGTAGGGTTCAGGGTTTAGGGCTTTAGGGGGAAGGGGGGAGGGGGGGGCCTTTCAACCTGCTTGATGAAGGCCTGACCCACGAGGCTCTCACCCCATGGCTGCGGGCCCGGGTCGGTTCAGTTTGCGAATCCCAGCATGTTTGCATCTGGTTGCCTTGAGCCGCAAAACATCGGCCAAAAATCTTGATTGCACTCGCAAGCAAGGTGAAAGCATCACGACACCAAGCACAACAGCAGCACGCAAACTAACCTTCTCTTCCTTCCCAATCTTCGCAGGACAACATGGTGTGGCCGAGGTGGGCACCCTCCTGTGCTCCGATGCCTTTTCCCCTTGCACAGGTTGCACGCTCTCAGCCTGCAAGCCCGGAGTCGCTGAATGCCTCTGTGCCTCTGCGTTGGCATCACGCAAAGCACTCGGTTTGAAGAAGAGACCAGGGAGGGAGAAAGCCGAAAGGAGGATTCCCAATGATAGGCTCCAGACAACGAAGAGTTGGTGGCGAGGTAAGGCGGCTCCAGCCAGGCGCTCCGATGCGCTACTCATGTCTCCTTACCCTTCTCGGTACATCTCAATGTGCGCACCGCATCCGATTCTATCGTTGTCGCATTCTGCAGGTCCACTTCGCGCGGCTCAGCGTTTGCATTCACCCTCTGGCCATCCTACTGCCGAAGCTGCCAGCTCTGTCGTCAGCAAGCAAACGCGTTCTCCAAGTTATTCTGCTGATCTTGGCCGCTGTGCCATACCTCCAAGGCCCTGATTCCACGGATCACCGGTTCGGCTCCAATGACTTTCAATGGGCGCCGACTCTGATGGCAGCACAGAGGCGGAGCCCTGCAAACCTTGCGAATTTGACACTCCGGGCGAAATTTGCTTGATGCAGTCAGCACATTCCAGCAAGTGCATCGCAACATCGCCGTGGACGTACGGAGGACCTG